GTTTTATTGGTTCCTGGAAAGGGGATGTGTCCCTGTTAAGTGTGTGTGTGTTATTTGGTTCTTAGGTAGTGAGTCAGTATGATATGTGTAAGCGTGTATATTACTATGTGTGTGTGTTATCATTTGGCTCATTAGGGAGTGAGTGAGTGAGTATGATGTGTGTAAGTGTGTCGATTCGTGTGGGTGTGTGTATAAGTTTGAGGCCTCAACACCTCCGTAAGAATGTCTGTCATGTGTGGGTGAGAAATGTGGGTAAGTCCTGATTTGTAGGGTTATATATTAATACTATTTATATTGTTAAATTTATAGTTAAGCTCAGCTGGATAGTGTGTTTTTGCACGTTGTTTTCATGGAACTCTATAATCTTTCTAATGTTATCTGCTCTGGACTTATCTATTCTCTTATATATATATATATATATATATATATATATATATATATATATATATATATATATATATATATATAATAGCTGACCACTCATATTCGAGGACACCCGTCTACTAGTGTGGCAAGCCAATCCCTATTGCAGACGCTCGCTCAAGCACATTTATGTTTGCTTAACACCCTCAGAGCCCATCTGTGGTTTATACTGCAACTATTCTGAGCAGTTACAGTTTCTGGGCTCTGGTGGATATGGTGGAAACTAATAAAACATGAAATTTGGACATTTTATTTACAATTTTGATTAGGATGCATAATGTTACATTATTGTTTAATGTATGCTCCCTTTGCACTACCGTTAATGCATACTCCCTAATCGACGTTACGCAACCTGATTCTCGCTCCCTGATACATCGCCTCTCTCCCTAACTCCTTCGCTCATTCTCCTTCTTCCGGTACCCAATAAAGGCCAGTAACTTAGTTCTCCATAATAAAAAATACGGTGGAAAGTATTTGGGCATGGAACAAACAAAAACAGGAATCTTCAAAAGTTTATTGCCAATTTTGATTTGGATGTACAACTTATTCAGAATTTAGAAAAAAAAACAGGAAAAAATAAGCAAGAAAACAAATTCTTGCTACTTAAACAATATATATATATATATATATATATATATATATATATATATATGTATGCATGTATGTATGTATGTATGTATATATATATAAATGGATTGCCGTGTGGCCGAGTGGTTAGAACTTTAGACTCGTGTTCGAATCTAACCATGTTCGATTTGTCGGGAAGTATCTGAAACTATACCCCGGGTTGAACGAAGCTTTTTGAGCGAAATTGGGCAGACGGAACTCTTGTGGACCGTCGATAGCTGTGCTAGCACGAAGCCACAAGTCATTGTGGCCGAGGGTTTTAGCGTGCTGGCCTTGTTCAAAGTGTTGATCACGCTAGATAATACACTCAATGGTAAATAATTGAGATATCCAGAAGAGGCCTGGCACGTCGAAATAGAACAATCTACCCCGGTGGATGAAATAAAGGTTTCGGTTTGAAATTCCAATCACCCGAAGAATGCTGGATCGTACATCGGCCGAAACGTTATGAATACGGCAATGAAGACGAGGATAACAGTTCGAATAATGTAAATGATATAAATAGTGTCCTGTTTGTTTCCATTTTTCTTTTAAAATTCATATTTTCGCTATATGATATTCTCAGCATCCTTCTGTAGAACGAGATGTCTGTTGTTCTAAATCCCTTTTTTTGTGAGGAAATTGTTCACCATTCACTGCAATATAGGAAGACTGATATTACGTAATAGTTCAACACTTTTTTGTTTGTTTGTAACGAAATGTTTGTGCTTCTTAATACGTTGCTTAGCTTTTGGAAGGCATCTTCTGCTCTTCCCTTATAACTTCAGATTTCCGTATCAAATTGTCTGGCATCTGTTAATCTATTACTCTTTCCTAAATTTATTTCAAGCAACTCTCCTAGTACTGCTGGCCTTGCCACCAGGCTAAGCTAGGCTTCTCTCTCTTTCTCTATCTCTTTCATCTCTCCCTCTGTGTGTGTGTGTGTGTGTGTGTGTGTGTGACACCCTTTTTAATGATATAGTTGTTCAAAGGAACAGCTGAGTGTAAAAGAAAGCAGGACTGCATTTAAAGAGAACATTAGAATCATTTTCGAGTAGAAAGACTCTTGATCCCCCACATCACCAGCTCAAAGAATAGTAATTGTTATGCTGGCATCTTAAGTTATTAACCTTTTGTTTGATCTGTTCTGTTCGCATCAATAGGTAATCACGTTATAAAAAGTGACTGTGTTATATCTTGTCTACATGAGGCGGAAAAGACTACCGCAGAGAAAGTAGAAAAATTAACGGAGAAAATTGAATATGAAGAACGCTGCGCAAGAAAAATAAGAAAGACAGTTAAATCGACTTTTGTGTTCTGCTTTTATTATTTGAACATAGTCCGATGAATTTCTGCTTTCCAATTTCAGTATTCCCTCTCTAGGATTGTCTATATACTTATCTGTCTATGATTTTTATTATATATATACCAGTTGATTTCTAATTTATCTATCTATCTATCTATCTAGGGAGTTTTATTAAATATATATCAGTTGATATACGATCTATCTATCTATCTCTCTAAAAGATTTTTTTATTTGTCTACATAATATATTAACAAAATTTATATCTATCTATCTATCTATCTATCTGTCTATCTATCTATCTATCTATCTGTCAGGGCACCCTGTAAAAACAAACCTGGATTGTCTGTCTATATTTCTGAGATGAGGTATTATATACACTATTTACATTATTCGGACTATTGTCTTCATCTTTGTCGCTGACCTTCTTCAGGTGGTTGGAATGTCGAACTGAACCCTTTATTTCGCTCACTGGGGTAGACTGTTCTAGTTCCACGTGCCATGTCTAATGGATGTCAGTTATCAGTTATCTCCTGCTTAATTCCCTCTGCAAGTTCTCTATCGCCTTAACCAGGACACATGGCACAGTGGATAAAGGCGTTAGTTAGATCCAGTGACAGGACCCAAAGAGTGTGAGTTCAATACCCGTTTAAGGCGGTGAAGAACTTGGAGAGGGGAATTAACAGGAGATAGCTGATAACTGACATCCATTAGACATGACATGTGGAACTAGAACAGTCTACCCCAGTGAGCCAAATAAAGGGTTCGGTTCGACATTCTAACCACCTGAAGAAGGCCAGAGCGTACAACGGCTGAAACATTGTAATAAATATGGTAACAAAGATGAGGAAAATAGTCCGAATAATGTAAATAGTGAACTCTGAATTGTAAAATAAAAATAGCAATGAAACTAATATATTATTTAATTAGAAAATCTTTAATTGCTTTTATTAGCAAAATAAACTATGGACCCTGTTGTTTTATGAGAAAAATGAATAATGAATTCTTACAAGGATTGTTTTCTTTTTTAATTTTAATTAAAATAATCTATAAAATTTTAAATATTTTAAAATTCTGTATTAATTTCTGTCGGTCAAAGTGATGTTGCTATTAAATAAAAACTGTTTTTACTGATGATAAATGGAAAAGTTTACTAAAATTCAATGAACTCCAGTATTTTAAAAAGAATTTTGAATTTCTTTTGTGTGTGTATAAACGTGCCGATTTTTTTTAAAATACGTTGTACACGACATTATTAGATTATTTATGATTTCCCCAACAAATTCAATAAAATATTAGAATGCTTAAAATATTTTATTTTTTTAAGATTACTGGGTAGTTAAAAATATTATATAAATAAAGGTGTTTGCGTTTAACACGTTATGCAGTCTCGTTACGATTATTACCTTCTTAGATAATTTCGTACACATGAAATTGTAATAAATGTGTCAATAGCTCACAAAAACACACACCCTGTCTTAAAAATGTTTTTCTGCGATATTTCAAACTAAATATATCTTTCAATTCAGATTACTCATACTTTAAATCAGCTAATTATTTCCCAAATAACGTTTCCGAAGAGTATATTGTATTTTTTAAAGATGTTTTAATAAAGAGAATTATGTTGTGTTGACAGATTTATCAATATGAACGATTTTATAAATGTTACTGAGGATCAAAAATGTAAATGAAAATCCAATCAACGTGAATTCAATTTGAAATATATATATTTTTCTCTTAATCGAATTCACTCCAAGCCATGTAGTAACTTTACTAAGGAACAAAGGGGTTACTGGGTGTGGCAGAATTAGAAAGAAAAAAAATGCATTATTAAGGAGCGAGAACAACAGAAGAGAGAGCAGGAAGACAGCAGATAACAATCGTGAAAAATCCACTTACCATAAATAAAATAACATTGTCTGCTTAATTATTTTAAAATTATTATTAAGAAAAATGTTCGTAAGACGGGGATTTAGTAAGAAAGAAACAAACAAGGAACGAAAAAAAAAGGGAATTTTTTTTTTAAAAATTGACTTCAAACCAAGAAGGAAATAAAGCCACTAAGACACAAAAAGTGACTGGGTGTTGAAGAATTAGAAACAGAAATATTACTAAAGAGCGAGAACAAAAAGAATAATCAGAAAGACAATAGATAGCGATTGATATTACATTTGGCTAAAAAACATGGAGCCGGAAAAGAGTTGTACAAGCGAGAAGCACGAGAAAAGAAACTGTTAGCATAGAACTTACGGTTGCATCTAGCCAAGCCAACTCACCTGTAAATCGTTAAGAACTAGCCTTTCTTACTACATCCATCATAATACCTCATTGTCTCTATGAAAATGCTAACTGTACAATTCATTGTCTGTGTGGGCAGGGGAATAAAATAGAGAAGAGCTCATCTAAACAATTACCATGAAAGTATTTATAGAAAAGGTACAAGGATGCAACAATTGACTGAAGCCGAGATGCCAGGTCATGATCAATAATGTTGCTGATTCTTTGGATTTTATCAAGGATCTCTAGATTTATAACAGGAGTACCGGACCATATGTGGCAGCAATATTCTAAGCATGGATGAGTGGTAGACTTTGTCTAGCACGACATTGTGAACCAACTTTGTTATCAGCTGGCCTAGTAATGCAATTCTACGGATACTTTATTGTCGTAGAATTCACCACTCGTCAATAACTGATGAATCTTAACTCATCAAAAAATTAAAATAGGAAAACCGTGAAATTGTCACGGATATTTTTAGTTATTATTATTATTATTATTATTATTATTATTACTTTTGATTTCTACTGTATGTACATTTCCTTCCGGGTCCCAAACAGACAAAGAAATGATTTCATGCCCCTTTCCATAGATCATTTTAAAAAAAAAGAACCCAAAACAATGGAAGAAAACAAACCCTAAGATCACATATTTTATATCGATAAAGCTCCTCATAATGTATGAGTTGTATTTGTGAGTACAATCATTCGTATTTCTTTTAGGCATAGGTTACCAGGAATCACTTCAATGAGTCTATCGGAACCTTTTCTAATCAATCCGAAAGCTACAACTACAACTAGCATTATTGATGTCCTCTTGCGCCACATTTTTCTTTTAGATTTCCACTTCAAGATCCTTGTATTTTGATAGCTTTTTGAGGATCTTCAAAGATACATTACATCTTCAAAAAATGTATCAAAATACAATGTGCAGGAACTGTCATGTCAATAAGAAAGCACATTCTGTTTTTGTGGTCTTTGATCACTATTATTGTTATTATTATTATTGTTATTATTATTATTATTGTTGTTATTATTGCTGTTGTTGTTGAATATATGAAAAAACTGTTCAAGAAGAGAAAGTTCCTCTATTCGGAAGTAAGGCAGAATATCAATTTTGAAAATGGCATCTTTGAAACATCCTATTCTCTTTAGCGACCTTACATATATTGCACGGCTTTCTAATACTATTTATTAAGACAAAGATCAACGTCATCGCCCACTATATAATCATCATCACCAATAAAATTTCCACTAAAGATCGCTTCTGTCTTCATAATCTTCCTCCTCAACAAACAAAATCAGCGATCAGAGAGTTCGATGTTTTGTAAGCGCTGCCGACAAAACAAAAACATAGTTCAACGATTTTGAATTGCAAACAACTTCAAAGAGTTCCTTGCCTTTGTTTGCCTGCCAAAACGCAAAGGACATGAAAAGCAGTTGCCAAAAGCGAAATACTCTTGATCGAGCGACGGTTCTCGTTTTTGAATATACTGATGCCATCCAAAAGTAAATTCTTCCTCAACGAAGACACAATCTGAAGTGGAAACTATTTCGCTGATTTTTTTTTTTTTAGTTCTCTGCATTCGCGTGAGTAGCCAGGCCATTGGGAGATGGATGTTTTTACTGAGGCACCGTCTCTAGATTGCAAAATTAAGCTGAATGTGCCCATGATGTGACTTCGCGCTTGCACAACCATCGTTTTGTGTATCCAATTCCACTCACACGCCTTTGGTCAATATATAGGATGGTGCTAGGACCATTTCTTCCAGTCCTATATCAAGAAGTCACCTTTATTAATGATCATGCTGGGATTAAATTCTAAATCTCTTAATCGAGACGCTAATTCTCTGAGCAATTTTCCAATTGTCCATCAAAGTTTTACGCGTTTCCAACAAAGTAAATATGACGTTTGTAAAAGACACGTGTGATATCTAATTAACACAACATCTAAAAATATCAAGCCGCTGAATAACGTGTAAGACATTCGGAATTATACTTCGTTTGAATTCCCAAGACAAATACCTACCCCTAAGTACGGAATAGAATTGTAGATTGGAATAAAAGAGTAGGTTGGAATAAAAGGGCTGATTGAAATATTAATTCATTTTTTTTTCGGAACAAAAATGAGAGAGAAGAGATTGGAATAAACAGTGAGTTTAGAAAAAAAGTAGAAAATGAAATAAAGGTTGGGTGTGAAATAAGAGTGAGTAGATTGGAAAAATATCAAAATTTAAACATCATGGCAAGTCATATAAACTGATGGGCTCGTGGTGTAACAGCTCGAGGTTCGAAAAGAAATACAGCTAGAAGGAGTAGGAAGCCATTTACCCCCCCCCAGCTATAGGTTAAATAGAAGAGCAGACTAAACTCTCTAGCCATGGTTGACAATCAATCTAAAAGAGGGACAACTCTGAATTCAAAAACATATGTGGCCCTCGGAAACGCATTCTTGAATTGTAACTAAGGTCTGATCAGCATGATTACAGTATAAACCACGGCTTGACTCTGTGGGTGTTGTGCAAACATAAATGTGTCTGTACAGACGCGCATGATCGGAAACGAGTGGCCGTGCTGAAGATGAAAACCCCAAACTTATTGCAGTGTATATTCAAGTCCAAACAGATCTGATGAAGCCCATCAGTACATTGATTCATTCAAATATTTTTCGTCGTGTTTCAGTTACTTGAGCCTCTAACCTTCCTCGGATGTCTGTCGGATTTGATATCCTTCCTTGGATGTCGGATTTGATATCCTTTCTTGGATGTCTGTCGGATTTGATATCCTTCCTTGGATGTCTGTTGTGTTAACCCCTCCTAATATTCGAAACTGCTCCAAAGGGTCGCTCTCCGGACTATAAATACTCTGCCATAATTTTTCATAGCCTCTTAC